TGGATGGATGGACGGAGGGATGGATGGACGGAGGGATGGATGGATGGATGGATGGATGGATGGATGGATGGATGGATGGATGGATGGATGGATGGATGGATGGATGGATGGATGTATGTATGTATGTATGCCAATACAGGACCATCAAGATCTCTACACATACATCTACATCCGCACAAATAGCCATACTTATGAGCGCCATGCTTTGCAAACTAGTTGCAGGTTTGGGGCTAAGGCTTCGGGCAATCAGATTGTAGGGTTTCAGGCTGATGGTTTACGTGTTCGGGTCCTTTTTCTAACTTGAACTTTGCATTTCCTGCGTGCCCAAGAAGCCAAAAGATGCCGAGCACACCTCACATGAGCCCACAGGTTGTTCGGGGAGAGGAGGAAGGCTCCATTGCGCTTCGCTTAACCTGGGCTGACCACAGGAGACAACTTCTGTGTGGTTTGGCGGGGTAGTGGTATGAGCTGCTTCTTGTGATGACTATTATGTACGGTCGGGCTATAGTGCTAATTCTCAACTTCACCGTCGATGACTCTTGCTGCGATACTATCGAAAAGTGCAGTTCCATGAATGCCAGTGAAAGTCGCCTTCGCCTACCTTACCCGGGGCCATTTAAACGTTTGCGCAGCAAACTTCCAAGACTAAAGCGTCACTTCAGAAAGCTCAAGCGAAACCGATTTATGGAGACTGCTTTGCGCAATCATGTTCTCACTCCCGCTGAATCGTGCAAGGCTCGTAAAACTAGTCTGTCGAAATGTGTAGATGTGATTTCCGTGTTCAGGTGTTGGGTTCATAGTCCCCTGAATAGGATCAAAAATGCTTGGTCTTCACCATCTGTTTGCAAAGAATTCTGCTTCATCGTTCTCTGATTAGTATAACAGTCAGCTCATTCTCACTTTGTCCGCCACGGCTTTGTGCCCGCATCACCAAAAAATGCTACTCTGATGTTCGAGTTGGGTTTCGGGTTGAAGGTTTTTGCATCTGGGATCTCAAAATAATCGTACAACAAGGAGTCTACGTACTATTGTCTGAATGTAACTTGCTGTCTTGTGCGGGGCAGGAGACGCGGGCCTAGTAAAGACGGTTCCAGCAAACCTCTCATGCGAGGGTCCGCAACAATCCTAATCCCTCGCCGCTACAGCATCGCCCCCAAACACCGAAGCCTTAGAAATTGCCCTGAACCCCCAACCCCGGAGGAGTGAACCGCCGACTATCTACTACCGCATTTGGCTGTCGGTGCCCGGCAGTAAGGAGGCCTGGGTCGGCCAGCCGGAGGGTCCCAGCAAAGAGCGCAATGTACCACCCAAATACCATACTGGCTTACGAATACTGCGACCAATACGTAGGCACTCTGGACAATAAGGAGGGTTGGGATTCAAGGTCCAGGGTTTGGGGCTTAGGACTCAGACTTTAAGGTTCCGGGCCTCAGATACCTTGGGCGAGTAGAGTTTCTGAATTTCGGGCTCCGGGGATTCGCTGCACAACTACGGGAGGGCCCTTGAGATTCCGGTTAATCAAGGTCAAAACATCCCAGGAAACCCCGTCAACTTTTATACCACAGTTGTTCAATTTGTGTGTCTCCAAAGTATCCATAGGGTAGGCTCGCATCTTGGTATGGAATGTATTCCCAATGGCTCCTCCTAAAGCCTGTGCTCCCTAAGCCCAAGACCCGGAATCCCAAGCCCCTTGAACAACGGAGACCCAATGGCTCCTCGCTGTAGTTTAGCCGAAGATTGAGGGTTTAAAGGTTACCAGGCGCCACAGCAAGGAATATACACAGCAAGCACAGCGTATTGGGTCCCACGCCTAAAGGCTTATGAACCGGACGCTCCAACGAAAAGCTGCCATACCAAGAAAAACTAGCAGCAACGATCCTTCTTGATTGTACATCAAGGTAGCATGTTTTCAGCCATTTGTGGCAGTTAACATGCTAGTAGCATGGTTTGCCTCTTCAAAGAAGAGTCCTCAGAGAGGTCCTTTTTGTCTCTATACTGCGTAGCTCTTCTGAACCTCGCATCTGAACTCCGAACCCTCCGCTCCCACGCTTTGCCCTGTCCTGCCTCAAAGAGCTCGAAAGGATGAAGGCGCGTGAAGCCGCAAAATCGGAGCTCTTAAAGAAGGATCCCATAGGTCCGCTTCATTCCACCTTTTCTGTGTTAGTGTTGCATAAGGAACTCAACGTAAGTTATCCGTATATGGCAAGCCGATGCTTTACTATGTGCAACTATTGAAGTTAAATCTGGTTCTTGCAAGGTCCTTGACTTCAGCCCAGAAGACCAAGCCCCGGCATACTTTACGATGAGACCTCCCCTCTACACCCTTGTGAGCTCTGAACCTTAGACCCTCAAAAGCCCTATAAGCCCCAGCCCCATAAAACCCAATAAAACTCTTACACAGTTTCATAAACAGTAGCCCGTTATCTACGAATCCTTGTACCATGTATTCTAAACTCTGAGTGGTACACACCCTGAACTGGGCACTGTAGCGGGCGACAGGCTCAGAGCATTAGGGGCTCAGGGATCAAGGATTTCGTTTGCGCATGCAGGTGCACCATTATTCAGCGGCAGCGCGAGGGTCAGAGCCTCAAACATAATGCCAAGAAAACCCAAATCCATCGGATTTTGGGCCTTGTGTCTTGAGTCAAGGGTTTTGAAGGTTAGGGGGTTGGGATGTTGAAGACCTGTCTGTAAGCCTTTCGGAAGTAAAGCCTGAATTGAATCTTCACCCTGAGCCCATTCCCTTAAGAGTAAAAGCAGTTGGTTTTTAGACAAAACGAACAAGCATATTGTTTTCAGTCCAAAGCACATTGCTAAAGTAATTCTGTCCTGGAGTATGGAGTTAGCTTAAATCCGAAGGTAGTCTATTCCGCTGTTGTTCGTAGTCTCTACCTGGCTACCTTGTGCCGACTGCAGAACCACAGTCAGGAGGCGGCTGCTTTTTCCCAAGGGGTGGAAGTCCTGAATTAGCCCATGCAACTTCCAATGGGTGCTCACTTTTTGAGCCTTAGGGTCTGTTCGTTTTTATGTTGAGCCTAGAGTGAGGTATGGAATGGATGGGCACGACTTGTGGTCTTTTGGGGTTTCGTTGGCTCTGGTGCAAACTATCCTTTGGGTATCGACATTTGCACAGGCCCTAAGCTTGTAAAACCTTGATCCTCAGCTTCTTTTTTGTTTAGTCAAACACGTAGCACCAGACTATAAATCGACTGAGTAGTACCCCGGCCCTCCCTGAGTCGTAACATACTCTAAGCAAGCGCAGACCCTCTAAATTCGTAAACCTCAAATGCCATGGTCCTGCCTGAAGGACGGTTGGCTTAGCAGATGCGGTAGGTAGGTTCTAATCTACTGTTTGGGGCTTAAGGTTGCGTGTTTGGGAAGTAGGTTACTAGATGGCATGCATGATGAAGACTGCAACCGTCATAACCCCAGGCCGTACTACGACATCCCGAAAGGCTTGCCAAAGTACATCCGGTACCAAGCCGCCGCGCCTTGCCTGAAGTGGATCGTGCCGGCCTTTCTGGGTCGATCTTGGTTGTAGCAGTCGAAGCGTGGTCGCTGAACAATGGGGCAGTTCTATTAATGTGAATGCTTCTTCTTGTCCTTCTTGTTGCTGCTGTTGTGGTTGTGGTTGTGGTTGTGGTTGTGGTTGTGGTTGTGGTTGTGGTTGTGGTTGTGGTTGTCGTTGTGGTTGTGGTTGTGGTTGTGGTTGTGGTTGTGGTTGTGGTTGTGGTTGTGG